TGCAGAGTTTCACAAGGCAGTGCAGAGCTTCACAAGGCAGTGCAGAGCTTCACAAGGCAGTGCACTGCCTCCATTCAATGCATTGTAGTCCCCAATAAGAATATTAACTTTACCCAAAGAAGATTAATAAGCACCAACAGTGAGTTTAGGACGTTTGACTGTTTTCTGTTGTAGAGCTGGACCTGCTCGCACCACAAACTGACCTGCAGCCTTCAACACTCATCTACACTGTGCCAAGCAAGTGACACAAATTAACAAAACATCTTTAGTCAGTTTTGTCAACCTACATGTAATAATTAATAGTAAATATTTTTCAGTCAGGTCATCTGGACAGTTTCTTTTTTTTGTGCTGAAACGTTTCGCCTTCGATCCAGAAGACTTCATCAGTCAAGGAAACACACAACAAAACTGATTCTTCCTCCAACAGCTTACTCCAAAGTGGAACAAACCAGTTCTGCTGGTGATAAGATGGTCTCTTTGGTACGCCCCTCCTCCACTGCCGGCCCTCTTCCTTGTTGACAGTCTAGTCAAACTGGTTGAAAACAACAAAGTCCATGCTCAATAATCCTTGTGTGTTTTCTTGACTGATGAAGCCTTCTGGATCGAAGGTGAAACGTTTCAGTACAAAAAAAGAAACTGTCCAGATGACCTGACTGAAACATGTTGGATTGTATACCTGGATTATTGATCGTGGACTTTGTTGTAAATAAGTTACAGGTTCCTTCCTACCTTGGTGCCACCAGTTTCTACACTTCATAACTTTTATTCCTCTTTCCATCCACCTGGAACAACATCCGTCTCTCTTCTTCGGTTGTTTTCCTTCTCCATCACTGATTTTAACCATTTTACTGTCCAGAAAACTTCTTACTTGTCTTCTTTCTTCCTAACACCATCTTTCTCTAGAACTCCATCAACTGCACTTTTCAGCTCTTAAGACAAAATCTCGACGCACACACCAGACGTGCTAGCTACGATGCTGCACGCTCCGTTTTCCCACGAAACAAAAACTCTTCGGACGGATCTACACGATTCAGGTAAATCACACATTTAGTTTGAAAACAGCGAATTTGGCTGAAAAGCGAGTAGTTTGCAGGTATGCACCTGGTGGCTCCGCAGATGTTTGTTGAAAGCCACATGTGATGAACGTCTGAGCTCGTGTCTGGCTCCGACCACTCACCTCCTCTGTGCAGTCGGACCCGAGGCTGCAGGAGCTCCAGCTGCCTCCTCTGCCGCTCCAGCTCCTGCCTGAAGACTGCAGCCTGCTCCTCCTCTGCACAAGCCGCGGTCCTCCCCACCACCTCCAAGATCTCCTTGGCGGCCGTGCTCAGCTTCTCGGAGATGACGTCTCTCAGGATGTTGACTTTAGAGATGCGGAGCGGCTCGGAGCCGCCGCTGCAGGAACAAACACATCCTCTAGTTCATCTTGAAGGATAAAATAAACCCGGAGCTTCTCAGACTCCAGGTTGGGGTGCAGCCAAAAAAACATCAAAAGATCTGTCCTGGACTTTACACACAGACTCTGTGGTCCAGAAAGACAAAGACTCTACTTCCTGAGAAGAGGACTGAAGTTTGGTTCGAACACCAGCATCCTCACCAACTTCTACAGGTGCACCACTGAGAGCCTGCTGACAGGCTGCACCACAGGCTGGTACTGGAACTGCACCAGTCACAAAGCACCACAGAGGGTGGTGCAAACAGCAGAGGACATCACTGGTAGCGGTCTCCACACCACCCAGGACATCTACCACAGCTGATGTCTGCGTAAAGCAGGTGTCTCAAACTCGTGGCCCAGGGGCCCATATATTTTGTGCCCCCCACCTGAACTCAAAGCTTGGTGTTACTGCCGCCGCACGTTTTTTCCTCATGTGACCAGCATTTAGTTTGATGACTTTTATTGTTGCGGGCCCACTTCCTGTGTTGCCCCAAACTCTCAAACTTTGTTTTAAAGCCACGGGTCACGTTTACTTCCTCCTCGTCTCCACTGTTGCCGTGGTGTGCTCTGTTCCTGCGTCTCCCAGACAAACGGATGCACGTCAGATCTGCATGTGCATGGCGAGTGTGTTGTCATCTTGCAGCAGCATCGATTCATGTCTAAAACAACCGTGGGATCGCTCACCGAAGCGTTGCTGTTAACAGCTGCATATCCTGATGCTGCTCAATATTCAGGTAGAAAAATCTAAAAAAGTTAAGTCAGGTCCTTTGGATGGGAAAAAAAAAAATATATAGAAACGTTTCGTCTCTCATCCTGAGGACTTCTTCAGTCTGAGGTGCTGTATTCAGCTCAGTCTCTTAAATAGCACCTTCTCAGAGTGGATCAACCAGTTTGCTGCTGACAACCAGAACCAGCTGATCACATGCTCAAGAAGGACCATCAGCCTAACAATGGATCATTAGCACCTGATGGCTGTTTACTATTCACAGAGGGCTGAGTGATACTAGCAATCACAGCATTGTAATTTTTAATTCTTATTTCTTAACGGTACTAGTGAGGAAGAAATAATGAAGGTAGTTGGACAATTTGCTGATAAAAGATCCAATGATTGTGAAGGAAATAATAAGTAATGTATTGGAACCATTTACATATATCTGTAATTTATCATTTTCTAAAGGCATTTTCCCAGAAAGAATGAAAATAAAAAGGTGATTCCAATTTTTAAAAATGGTGAGAAAAGTTTGTTTAGAAATTATAGACCTATATCGTTGTTGCCACAGTTTTCTAAAATTCTTGAAAGATTATTTGTGTCCAGGCTGGACAAATTTATAGATAAACATAATACTTTGAGTAATGAACAATACGGTTTCAGATCTAATAATTCAACATGTCTGGCTCTGATGGGTTTAATGGAACAGGTTACTACAGCGATAGATGAGAAGCAACGTTGTGTAAGTCTATTTGTTGATTTGAAAAAGGCTTTTGACACCATTGATCACACTATTCTGCTTGAAAAATTTAAATAATATGGTATTAGAGGTCTAGCCATACAGTGGACATCTAGCTATTTAAACAGAAGAAAACAGTTTGTTCAGATTGATGAGGTTAGATCTGGTTTGTGTAATGTCTCATGTGGAGTACCTCAAGGTTCAGTTCTTGGGCCTAAGCTGTTTATTTTGTATGTAAATGATTTAGTTAAGGTGTCTAGTATTCTCAAGTGTGTTTTATTTGCAGACGATACAACTTTCTTTTGTTCGGGTAAAGACTTAAATCAGATGTTTGAATTAATGAAGATTGAGTTTGTAAAAATTCATACTTGGTTTAAATTAAATAAATTATCACTTAATCTAGAAAAAACAAATTATATGATATTTAGTAAAAAAAAAAGCCATCTATAGATTTTCCTTTTGAAATTGATGGTGTTGTGATAGAAAGAGTGAGTGAAGTAAAGTTTCTGGGAGTGATTATAGATGATACATTGACATGAAAAACATATTAATGTTGTAAGAACTAAAATTTCCAGGTCTACAGCAACGCTACATAAAGTACGAGCATGTCTGACTGATAAAGCATCGTGTCACTGTACCATACAATTGTTGTGCCACATTTGATTTATTGTGTTGCTCTCTGGGGTACAGCTTGTAAAACTGCAACCAAGTCTATTTTTATTTTACAAAAAAGAGTTAGAAGAGTTATCGCAAAAAAGCATTATCGCCATCCTTCAAGTATTTTGTTTTATCAACTGAAAACTCTTAAGTTTTATGATTTGGTGGATTAAAATATTCTATTATTTATGTACAAGGCTCGGAACCAAATTTACCATCAAACATACACGTGTATTTCGTTAAAAGGAATAGTTGTTATAATTTAAAGGGAACAGATATTTTTGTAAAGATGAAATATAGAACAAGTTTTAAGGGCAGGTCCATTTGGATCAAGGGAATGAGTTTATGGAATGGTTTGATAAAGATATCAAAAAGGAGAATTCATTAGTTGTATTTAAAAAAAGATTAAAAATGTATTAATGATGAAATATATTTAAGTTGGATAATGTATGGAATTATAATGAATTGTGATCAGTTTTATGGTTGGTTGTATTATGTATTGTTTGAATAGATTGTTTTGAATTGATATTGTTTAGAAGAGGCAGAAATGATAAGAATTAGTTCTTCTTCTGCTGCCTTTCGTTTTATATGTATCTTATTTTATTGTATGGAATAAGTCTTGTTTTAACTGAAATGAAATGAATGAATGAATGAATGAATTGTAGTTGTTTTTTTGTGGAATACTTGATGTGGCCCAGCCTCGCCCAGACTCTACCTCCAGTGGCCCCCAGGTGAGTTGAGTTTGAGACCCCTGGAGTAAAGCACGCAGCATCATTAAGGACCACACCCACCCAGCACAAAGACACTCCCATCTACTATCCTCAGGCAGACGATGCAGGAGTCTGTCATTGTGCACAAAAAGACTCAAAGACAGTTATTACCTACAAGCTGTCAGATTACTGAACCCTTGATAAATAACATCAAGCCACATCTGTGACACCTAATACGACTAATATTAGCTGTGACAGCTGATATGTTTGTTTACTGCTGCTGCACTGTGTGGCTATATCATGCATGATGCAGTATCTGTGAATCTACCATCACAATTCATCTCAGTGTTCCTCACTCCCTGTGCAAAAACCTGCCACACAACCTGTGAAGTACATGTTAATCATGTTTAGTACATGTTAATAGTGCAGTAACATGTTAAGCATGTGTAGTAACATGTTAATCATGTGTAGTTTGTGTTAATCATGTGTAGTTTGTGTTAATCATGTGTAGTAACATGTTAATCATGTGTAGTAACATGTTAATCATGTGTAGTTTGTGTTAATCATGTGTAGTTTGTGTTAATCATGTGTAGTAACATGTTAATTATGTGTAGTTTGTTTTAATCATGTGTAGTAATACGTTAATCATGTGTAGTAACGTTAATAATATGTAGTTTCTGTTAATGTGTAGTAACATGTTAATCAT